GGAAATTTCGATACATATCGCGATCGCCGTTTCTCCGGCTTGGAACCGAAAGTTCCGCTCGCTTTTTACCACGTTGGCTTATTTATTAACGCAATACCGTTCCTCCCGGCGTGTCACAGGATATTCCGAGGATCGACCATACGTAATCGTAGCGATGCACAGCGATGATGGAATCTTTCTTAGTGACCTACATCGCGGAACGTTGATTTTTCGCGAGACGTAGCGAGAAGCAAACGTCGATGCTCCCGAACCGTATATTTCGCCTCGGGGCTCTTAAAGCCGATTCCCGCGATAACAATGTGCCAGCAGCTCCGAGATAATAGCCCCGAAAGCAAAAAGCGAATAGGGAACGGAGTCTCCGCGCATGCCGGAGAAGTTGGGAGGAGCTTCGAGTTCGAGAGTCGGCTCAAGGCGATGAAATAAATTTAATTAAAGTCAAAGTTCTCTCTAGCTTTGGCGCGACGGCGAGTTAATTGTTTCGCAGTTGCTCGAACAAAGGACTCTCGGCCGGATATAGAACGAAACCCGGTGGTGGGCGTGTGAAAGGGAACAGCCGTTCGTATATAAATAAAAATGCTGTGTTATGCCGCGCTGTCACGGTCCAAACGCGGGAAAATATGTGGAAAAAGCGCGACGAAGGGGGCGCTTTCGGCGCGAGAAAAACTATTCGCAACGTTCGAGATATGTCGATGGAACTATTTTGTCGAATCACATGCGCGCGTGCGCATTAAACAACGTAACTCTGCCGCGAAACGATCGACTTCTTTTCGACCGTTACAATTCAACTCGGAACACTCGGAAAAATTAAGGATCGATCCGCGATAAAAATTCTGCGGATACTGTCCGTCGCAGGGATTGCACGAATGTATAGCACCGTTTAAAAATAAAGCCGCCGATAAAATGTCGAAGTTCAACGAGGCCGCTTTGTACGTGGAAAAATTCTCCGATTGGGATTCACTCGAAAAATTTGTGTGTGTACGTACATATAATTTGTCACGGTGTTGTGTAAAATGTTACATGTCAACACACGGTATCCCGATCGCGCGAGACGAAAATAGGGAAGTACCTCGGAATATCCCGTGCTGAATACTTCGTATCGAGCTATCCTCTCGATTCGCCCGCTCTTCCGATATGGGAGAAACGGAAATTCGTTTTTTAATCCCTTCTTGAATAGAAAACGGGAATTTCATTTCTTACGCACGAGGGGGAAAGGAAGAGAATACTGGCCGGCGTGAGATTCGCGAATTCGTCGAATCGATTCGTTCGTTTAATCCGGTAACACGCGACCAACCGTACCGAAAATCTCGACACTCTGTATAGATACGTGTGACCATGTGTCTTTGGAATAATTAAAAATACAAAAAGAAATATATACATACACATGTATATACATATTCTATAACACCGACTGATTAGGAGGTAAAACACACACGTGTGTTACAGACACGTGTAATCGTTGCTACGAATGCAAGATGCTTAGCTACTTGTCAATCTAAGAAGAAGGGAGGACGGGGTCGGGGCGAGGCATACTAGGGACGCCGTCTCGGCTTTTATTGATATCACGTATGTATGCGCACACACACAAATATATATATATATATATATATATATATATATACATATATAAATGCATATGCCATACATAACGTGACATATTATCTGTCGAACATCTATTACGGGTGTGGGACGAGCTAGCGCGTGTTGACGCTAGTCGAGCAAATATAATAGCGAGACATGTACGTATATATATGTATAATATATGCAAATATATATGTATAATGCCTGTAATGACCCGTATTCGCGCTCGCCCCTCAAAACGGGGCTCTCTCCCTGTTTTTACATTTTATAATTGAACTGATTGACATTACGCGAAACGCAACCGAAAGAGAACGTCGCTTATTTTGTCACTTTACAATTTATGTAATTACTTTGCCATCTCTGCAAAATTTCTGTCCATATTATATTTATTTCTTGCGGAAACATAAATACGAATAAATAATTTCTCTGTTCATATTCCTTCGTTTCTAATATATTGTACGTATTATCCACTCGAATATATCGACTCTAATTTTTCCATCAGAAATGTGACTTGTTCCGATTTTATCTTTAAAGCAAGAAATAATAATTTACCTAATATCTCAATATATTCTTATACGAATCAATGATTTAGGTATGATTTTAATAATAACAGTAACTTTGTGTCCACAAATATCACATCTCGAATATCAAATGTCTAGCACGAATAAGAGTCAAAAAGCACAATTTGCTCTAAATTTAGGGCTGCGCCCAATTTGTCGATAACCAATAGTTTCCAAACTGAAGCGCTCGAAAAATCTCGGGAAAAAAGAGATGAATGAAGTTAATCTGAAAGAAATATTTTTAAGAATGATCACAGTGTTATATTTTAAGGAGAAACTTAAATAATTCGCGTTTTCCTATCATTCTCATTCAAATAGACTCCACATGTACATAATTTATCGGCAAATTGCGAAATTTTGAATGTTAGAATGTAAACGGCAAAAATCCTCGTAAAAAAGTTGATTATTTAAAGATTAGAGAAATAGAAACATGGGAAATATAAATATGTATATAAATTCAAAGATAAAAAGATGTTTGGAAATTATTGGCTGGGATAAGAGAGAAAATAGTTAACATTAAGAAAACGTACAGTCATTTGTAGGGAGTATTTCGCTAGTGGACCGAAACAGTTGAGCTTTCGATCCCTCGAAGATCTTCGCGGCTGCACGTTTCTTTACGAATTTATTCCGATCATTCATTCGCATATTCGCGATAAACCCAATTTACGGGATTCGCGCTTATGCACGAGACACGCGCGCGCGTTTTGCACGGTAATAAAATAACGTAAAGCATTTGTAATAAATGTGTGTGTTGCGACTCACTGTCTTGGTTGGTCGATTCCGATCGATTATAACGTACGGTGTAAAAAAAAAATAAATTGATAAAGGAAAGTTGATCGACGCCGGCGGTGCGGTCCGTTCCAGGACGAAAAGATCAATCCGATCGATTATTCTGCTGCTGACTTTGACGAACGCTTCGTAACGTACGCCCCACGTCTCATTCGAGACCTCATAATAGCGGCTGTTAATTGCGTCACGGCGATTGATTTCGTCATACACGCTTTTTGGATATTGGCCACCACCACCACGATCGACCGATGCGGATGTTCCCACGTTTACCGCGCTACGTGTTAATGAGCTCCTTACGTGGGCTCTTCCTCGAGGATCGATAAAAGCCAGTAAAACATCCAAGCGCAAACGGTGCTCCATTATCGTCCACTCATTGAGTGCGCACCGTGAAATGTGCGTATATAGGCTTTGCATTTCCTGCCAATCTTATCGACGACACGAGTAACGTCGCGATCTTTGCAACGCGTAAAGAAAGCGGCTACTAGACACACTGACTTTACACTGAAGAAAATCGAGAACGATGCCAATAGATTCGAAAGCTTCCGTAAGCTTGTAAAATTTCAAATTATGACAGAGTCGTTTCAACATTATCAGTCCAGTAAATACCGTCAAATTTGAAGAATCTCGAGATATAATACGGCCATTGTTCTACCTTGAGGTGTTACAAACAGTTCTTCTTCACGTTGAAGAAGCACAATTTCAAGAATTATTTCACGTATTTGATTATTTCAATATTCTATCTACATTGAATCTTTATTCTTAATTTCAGAAAGCAATATATTCATTATTGACGCCGGTAAATAACCACTTATAGCATTAAAAGACCTGTGTGTAACGTTATGCCACGAGATTCTCCATTAGTGCTGCAAGTTCGACGGAATTTACAAGGGTTGTGATGTAAAATTCGCGACTCGAGCAATTTCTCGCAACAACAAGCTATAATAAATAGCCACGAGGACTATAATCTCGACAGTAAACTCGTAATAACGGGATTGCGAATTACACTTTAACATTTCGTTTTTGCGAGACGACATTTTCGCAAGGAGCTCTTTCGTCGGGCAAGTACGCTTGACGAAGCGATCGAGAGAGAAAATAACAAGTCTCGTGAGGACGATAAAATCTATTTGACAAACACATTTAGGCGAGTGCGATTCGACGGTGATTTTGGTTTTACTGAGCTTCCAGGGATCCCCGATTTATAATGAAAGACGTTCACATAGGGTATCCCGAAGGCGACGAGACATGAGTGTACCGAACGAGATGATAACGATGAACGTCGATGAAAAGGAAAACTGCTTGAGTCCACTGCGACGACACAATTTGCGTTACCCAGAATTCGCGAGCGAACGCGATATATTCCTTTCTCGCGCACCTTCGACCAGAGCCAACGGCTCTCATTAGGTCCTGTTTTCTGGGTAACGTGCCACGGTCCTTGCAGGATATGAGGTGCGAGCCATGTGCATCGACTATATGAGGTACACGAGGTGTGGATGAACATCATCGTGATATAACCAATGTACCGAGCGAGCGAGGATGAAATACGATTGTTTGTCTGATTAACCGGCTCGATGACTTCCGGAAAATCGGCGGTATCGGCATTTTTCTCGGTGTTGCTTTGCTCAACCTCGCTCCTTCGACTATTATCATACGAGAGAGAGTGTCAACGAAAGGGACTCTAATTTGTTTCTGTGCACGAGCAAGAATGTCCGCAGGTGCTCCATTCTGCGGTCGTTTCCCGCGAAAGCTCTCATCCAATTTTTCCAGCCGAATCCAATATCGAAATGATCAAAGTAAGGAGCTCTCCTAGCTCTCAGGGCCGATGATTCGTCGTCGTACGCGACGATGTCGTCGACGAATTTAGTGTCGCGCGCACGACCATATCATGAAGCACCTCTCGAAAAGAGCGAAAAGGCAGATGAACAGATCCTCTATGGCGAGAGTGCAAGACGAATATGAACGACGGGAGCGGGAAGGACGAATTCATAGACGGAGGACGTAAAGTTTAACAGGAGATATAAAAAAGTACTGTCTGTCGTGGTCCATGTAGCGCTGAAGAGGGCCGGAGGTACTCACCCTGTGCATCATACTTACTGGAAAAGTTCCGCGTCGCCAACATGGTCGTCAGTATAGCGCCCTGCAAGCGAGAAGAAAACACGATTGTATATATGCGTGTTGGACGACGATCAATCTGGAGGACCATTCCAAGTAACGGCGCAAATTTCTCTGGCTTTATCGTTACGAGAGATTCGATTCATTTCGATTATTTGACGACGGCGCTGGTTTCCAGCGAGAAATCGGCGCGATCGCGTAGATTTGGAATGTCGCGTCGCGAGATGAGAGACAGCCTTTAATTACGGAGAAATAATACACGCGCGAGTGACAGTCAAGGTAAAGAGCGAGGGCGGATGATTGTACACGGAGTTTCGGAGTTGAAGTTTATCCGAGTAAACTCTCTCGTCCCCTTCATCGGGCGCGACGTTCGCGGTGACGTTCGCGGCAAGTTGGGGAACATTGTCGTTCCGGACGATGCGCCGAACTTTGCGCCAATAAGGCCGTCTATCAGACGAGCCAGAACGAACATCTACTTTTTGCATTTCCGTTTTCGAGTCGCGCGATCGATTAAATCGCCTTGGCGGCGATACTCTTACGAGCGGAACGCCTCGTCCCAACTAAACGCCCCTCCCAAATAAACAACGTCGAAACGCACGTTAATCCGGGGATTAACGCGCAACGAATAATTTACATACGGCGGAAAATCGACGCTGGTAGAGAGTTGTCCGATCGGTATCATGAATAAATTGATCAGTTAATTCCGATAATCAAATTAGCATGAAATTCGCAATCAAGCGAAATTCTGTTTTCCAACCACTGTACTTATTCCTTTTATCCTTCAGACTTTTTTCTCTTGTAAAACAGCGGTATTAAGATGAATTTTTCACGCTAAACTTCCCAATTGTATTGTTTCGCCATAGAGACGATACATCAAACACATCGGGATACTTACCTTTCGCGATAAGCGAAAGCCGCGATCGCGCAATTTAGGAAAAACTTTTCCGCCCTTGTCTCGCGATGGATCGTTCATCTAACATTTGACCTTTCCACGTTTACTGGGTCGCTCTATCTTTCCCTCGCGAATTTTAACGAGCGTTGAAATTAACCGCGCTAGACACAGGACGAATTAGCACCTATACGGTTACACGTACAGATTCCTCCCTCGATTCGCGAGGAAAAACAAGTTCGAATCGACGATAGATCGGAGCTCAACGCTCTGAAGCGTTTGCGGTGATTCCTCGCGCGAAACGATGGAAAATGGAAGAGGCATCGATTTCCCGAAGACGATTGACGTTACTCATTATTGCGATCATTACAAGCAAATCCCGTGGCGTTGTATTATCGACAACGTCTCTCGCTATAATTTTCCCTTCGCCGGCCAACGCGAGCGTCTCGATTCGATGGTGATTAAAATTTCATTACCTCGGGTACGGTCGCCTCCTGCTGTCTGCACAACATGAATTTATTCTTCAACGCCCGCATGTTTCAATCTGCCGAGCGAAGGGCCGCCGTTAAACTTTCTCACCGGGCATTTGCATTTTTATGAGTCGACCTTAATCGGCATTCGGCTCGCCTTCTATGCCATTTTTTACGCGCTCGCTCAATTACATTCTTAATGCGTGCGTGATCCGACGTGATTCGACTAGCGATCCAAACTGGAAAAGGCCCGAAAAGTCAGCGGCGGGGACGACGCTTTCCGTGAAAACAGCAGGGAGCCGCGCGAGTCCAATTTGGAAAACACGAGTTACAGTATGAATTACGAAGGCTATCGCACAATGCATGAACTTTTAATGCGCCTACATAATTCATGAGCTCCTTGTGTGTCCGCGGCGGCGTAAAATGTGTAATTGTCGCGACATTTATTAGTCACGATTAAATTGCTATTGTTATTGTCGTTTAGATCATTTCGCCGATGCGAATTTACGGCGATACAGTGGCGATCGGCACGGCATTATTTTCAAATCGTACTTTATCATCACACACGTATTTGTCGGTACGCGCGCACTGTCTCCGTGTTAGCCGATCAAATCGAAAGGCACAAGTGGTTCGTTTGGATTTCCAGGCACTTTCGCCGTCCCTCGCAGTCGTTCGTTTCATTATTGACGGACCGTGTTATAATTAGCGGGCCTCGATATTTGATTCTCGCGGGGGCAGCCTCGCGCAAAAATACAAGCGAGACGAGTTGGACATTAATTAACCCGATACGCAATTACAGTCTCGCCGATATAAGCTTGATCGATCGAGCGCGCAACTACCGTTTGATAACGCTCTCTGCCGAATTGCCGTATAATTCGCGCTGAATACGAGAACCGCGCATTTTAATGTGCGAAAATTGTCCGCTCGTTAGAGACAGAACGACGCAACACAGCGTCGCGACTCTTCTACGACGCGGGATAGCCGGCTTTGAAAAAATTATGCGTGTACACAGCTGCGTTTCCGTCAGCGTTGCGTCGTTCTTACAAGCAACGATATTTTTCTAGTCGCGAGAAAACCGTCCACCTTGGAAACTGTGTCAAAAATGTCAGCGGGAGGTCATAAAGCGGTGCGATAAAGCAGCGCTAAGAAACACTTTTTGTAATCGATAAAATATATTAATTTCAAATAAATTATTTTTTTGAATTAAATGCAATTTGTTTGGTTTTAATAAATATTTGTCCTTTGATGTATAAATCGCGCGGTGGAATTCTATGCGCGAAAAAACACCGGGGAAATCGAGATTGCATTTTTTTACAGGTGCTCGCATACACATGAGAAATTTGCAAATATCTTTATACCGTATAGCACACACAAAGTTACGAGAGCAGAATTCTCTGTCCTCGGAGATTCTGCCGCGAACCGTGTAGATCGTCTAAAGCGAACTTTGCAAGACAAGATTCTTCTCTACGAAAAATTATTCCTTCAATTTATAAAATGTCAGAAAATGTTGCCACATTAAAATCGCGCGTATACGAGTGCAATTCAAGTATCTCGCGCGCGCGCGCGCGCGTAAACCACAAGAGACTCGCTCGCGGTTGAATCGCGATTGCGAGCCATTGTTGGGCGTTTAATGATCGCTCACGCGTCGTCAATCGTATCGAATAATGAAATATTTTCTTGCACTTTGTTTATTGAATAACTGCCAACCAAATGTCGATGCGATTACGCCGTTCAAGCGAGACCGTTAGAATCAAGAAGTAGGGCAAAGTCGCGTATTAGGCTTGTCGATTACGAGGACACCGGTCCCTGTAATTCAGTCGTTACGTCTGTCGCCTAAAAACGACAAAAACTTTGCTAATCCGTTAGATAAGAATGATGATCGTATCACAACTGTGTGCTTTTACGAGCGTATAATTAAAAGTTGCGTTTAAAACAGCAAAGATAAGGTAAATGAATTTTTCCTTCCAAATCTAGTTCAATGCATAAAAGTGTGATATGAAAAGATGACTAAAAGAACTTCAACAATAAAATTATAGTAACAATTGAAGAGAAAATGTAAAAGCGACAATAGAGCCTGCTCTGTAAGAAACGTGAAACCAATATATCCCGGATCGTTAGTCGTCGTAACAAAAATAATACTCCGAAAAAGTTTAGATCGCGCTCTCACACGATACATTCGGTCTTCGGTAAAATCAATGAAATCAAAGGCTCGGCCTAGCTAGAAGAAATCAGGGAAACGAACGAATTTTCACGCTTTTCGACACGTTTTCGAGGGTATCGTATTCTCAGTTTCACGATTAATTAAATCGGACTCCCTCCCCCCGAGAAACGCGAGCTAGCTTTGCACGTGTTCGTACTTTCGGAGCATTTCGATAACGGCGAACGCACACGTCACGCACGTGACTCCGATAAAAGGCGACACTTTCCGCTCCCGTAACGCGCGAGAGTGCGCGGTGATTGCAACGGCAAGTGGAGTCGTACTGCTCGATGCGTACCATCGTTTAATCGACAGTGACTTGTCGAACGACAGAGCCGTAGGAACGGTACTCATAGGTAGGGAGACGCCATCGATTCCCGATCGAATCGCCGCCATTGCCGATCGCAACAGCGACTCGAGACCAAGTGTATCCAGAGAGAGAGAGAGAGAGAGAGCGCTGATCCTGATATATTTTGTTAATCGTGCAAGTTTTACAAACCGACGAATCTTTACTTCCATACGGTAAGACTCGAGTAAAGTCAAATGGATTTCGTAAAATAACATTTACGTAATCGCATGACCTTTTAAAATTTATCCCCCGTTGATGCGATAAATTTACAAAGGGGTTTTTTCGGGATTACGTAGACATATGTTAAGCGAAGCTGATTTCCCTCTCTCTCTCTCTCTTCCTTAGTTTGACGATGCCTCCCGATAAGTGGAATTTACTAACGTAATGCAGCATGCCACGTCGTTCTAATTTTACAGATGTTACTAACATGCGCCGCGGCACGCAGACGCAATCTCGACCGCAACGTGATAAGCGAGCATAATAGAATCTGCATTTGTAAATGGCCGGGCTAATATACGAGATTTTGCGGCCGGCGAGAGTTAGAATTTGCGCGATTACCGTTACATTTCCATGCGTCCGCTCTAAAATTGGCGACTGACAATCACGAATCAAACAAATCTCGGTCTCTCGAAATCTCTCGCAAAAGCCATCCATATATCAATCGTGCGTTTACCGAAATGAGCCGCTTTTGGCGGCGAATTTCAATCTCCATTTATCTCGCTGAATGATTACTCGAGGTCCGAGTATAATATTTTTGGACACCGGCTAATTAGAACGAATAATACGATCGGGACGAAACTTCATTACGGCGGACAATAGGAGCGTGTTTGTATTCGATGGAATAAAAAACGCGCACGCGTGCAATTTCGTTGTCTCTTTTACGCACATGTAAAACAGATCTCGCGATACGCGTAATGCAGTTCCCCCCCCCCCTCTCTCTCTCACTGTTTCTTTTTTCTGTTCAAATTTTACATTACATCGTGCGCGTAATTGGAAAAAACCTTCGCAACAATGTATTGATGTAAATAACAAACCGCAAATTCACAACGCGGAATTACGAAAAATCGTGCGCGCGCGCGCGCGCGATAAATCGAGTAAACGAAAGCAAAACTTTGCTCGTACTCACCTTTAACTTGCGCCTTGCGTTGAATTTCTTCAAGCAGTCCACGGTCTCTTGTCTGTGCACCACGGATGCGACACGCTCACGTTGCTGAAACATCAAGTAAACGAAGAGCGATATCAGGCGCCGTCCTGAGGGAACGATTGAATTAAATCGTCCGAGATTAGATCTTAAGCCTCGCGCGCTTCGCCGAGAATGAAATTTTATCGTCGCTGTAGGCCAGCGACGGGAGAAAGCCGGCCAAAGTGCGGCGTGAGAATACAGCCGAAGAAACAATTCTATCGATATTTGAAACGCGTTTCCGCCGAGTCGGCGCATTGTCATTTGCGGAAGTACACTTTCCACTCGACAATATTTCACGTTTCTGTCACGGTATCATACACAAATATGAATTGTTAAAATATTGTTTCAACAATTCATATTCCATTTATCGTAATTCAATTTCCGTTTCATTCGATTCAAACAACGAATTTTGCATTTTAGCGTATTAAATTACAAATACGATAAGCCGCGATATTACGTAACGTTGCATTGTCCAAATATTACAGAAACACGATACTTAGAGTAAGGTTTCTACACACCGTGCCGTGTGTGCACGGGTTAAATTCGAGGGCTGATCGTATAACCGAGTGTGTGTGTGGATTACGTTACTTTTGAATTATATGGCTGTACGATGTAAATCTGATGATAATACAGTAGACGGTACTTACGCAGATCCATGGATGCTTCAGTGCTTCGCTAGCAGTGATCCTCTTTCCTGGATTCACCGTCAGCATCTGATTGATAAGGTTTTTGGCTTCGGGTGTGACGGTGTCCCATTCTGGACTCGGGTACTGCGAACAGAAGACGTAGCCAATAACATTAGCGACAAGTCGATCTTCGTGAGAATTATCGTGCTCGTAACCGATACAAATAATTTATGACCGAGTTGACGCATGGAACTTCTTTTTCGGTAACGTCTTTTCTTTCACATAAAACCGAAGGAAACGGGGCATTTCTGTAGTGTAAAAAACATATTCTACAGCCAGCAAATGGAAGTGCATGTATCGAAATTGAGTCCAAACAGATCCATGTAAAAAAGAAATTGCCTAAACGCGAAACTTGCAAATTTCCCGTCGCTTCTGCAAGTACGACGACGTTCTTATGAAGCAGCCGGAATTTTGAGATACACCGACATGATACATACGTCGTACGATCCGGCCTTGATCTGCGCGTAAAGCCGATGCTGATCCTCGTCCCAGAATGGCGGGTAGCCGACGAGGAGGATGTACAAGATGACACCGCACGCCCAGATGTCGACCGGTTTCCCGTACGGCTCTTTCTTCAACACTTCCGGACTGAGGTAGCCGGGCGTTCCAGCGAAACCTTTCAGCAATCACTCGGGTTCATTTCCACTTGAAGGATAGGAACGCGACGACTCGAAGGATTAAAGGGATCAGGGCGTTACGTGCGCGAAATCACGTTCCGGGCGTTACCGTTCGTTGTCGAAGCTAACCCCTCATACTTGGAGAGCAAATATATCCTCGATCGCACACTTTTATCGTGTTTACATTTTACCATTTAATTCTACAGCTCTTTTATTTTACTAAAATTCACTAACAATGTCTCTTCATTGCATCAATTGCTTTACAATCATACGTCTCTCTGAGTGATATAAATGTATCGCTCGATACTAAAAAAAAAATAAATAAATAAAATAAATAAAAAATAAAATAAAAAAATGCAGCATTAAGTGAACTTACTTTTTATCCGATTTAAATGTTCCGAGTAAAATAAAACTCTAAAACAGCAACTCCACACATTTTTAAAACAAGAATAATGCAATTCACGATCTTCTTTTCAAATATCTGTACAGTTTTCATTACTATGCAAATAGGGGCGACGTACGGTGCCATACATAGGTGTGTGATTAGCGTTCCAAAATTGATATATGACGGATCTATTATTTGAAAATTTAAATTCTACAATATTGATTAGAACACACATGCGCATTTTTCATTTATTTACCTCTGGGCTCAAATGCGCGCTCAATATTCGTATTAGTCGTTGAAATGTAGTGGAATCCGAAAAAAATACATTATCACGCAGCTGCATATAATTTGCGGAAAATTCATAAATTATTATAGATTTTCGGTATATTGATCACAGCTGGTTGTCCATGCGATTGTAAAAGTCCTGAAATACTCGTACATAGCGTCGCAATTGACGACACGTGACTTTAACTCTTCGCGGAACGACTATTCAAAAAAATAAAAACGCGATGGCGACGGCGGGAGAGAGAATGCTGTGAAATTTTTCCAGATTAATGAGAAGCATGTAATCGGATAATTTAGGTGCGAGTTTCGTCATCTCTTCTTTTATTTTTGCTGCCAATTTTTGTCCCGGCAATTTTAACGTGCTTTACCACGTGTGTAATTAATTTTCTATAAGCACGCGCCGCCATTTACGTAACCGCAATCGGAACGCTTTGGCGCGGCAAAAATACGGCTGTATGCAATTAACCAGGCTACGATTGCCCTCGGAAATATTACTATCTTCAACAAAACGAGCGTTGAATCTTTCGAATCGGTCGATACAAGTATCGATATCCGTTTCTTCGTTAAAATCTTTCCGCGTCAAACAGTTCGCATGAAGACGAACCGTTCTCTCACGCCGTCGCGATCACGAAGAGGAATGTCGCGGAATATTTACTCAGGACAAGTTATCAGGCTTCCCCCGTAAAGGTCAACATTGTGATTAATGTTTTACGTGACCATCCCTGTATTTCGCGCATCTCTGTACCCACGTAAATTAAACGGTCCATCTTGCTGCAAGGTCTGTGCGTTACGAAAATTGGCGAAGTTGCGGTGAAATAAATGTTGATTTTCCGAATGATAACGCGTTTCAATTACAAGGTCCAATACCTGTGCCCTTTAACCTTTCGCGCTTTAATTGACGCATCAAAGCTATGCAACTCTGCGCGGAAAATATTAATTTTTTTTTTTTACATAGGTTCAACGGACTGCATTGACTTTTCGCGAGGGAATATCGTCCCCAAACCTCTGAAGAAGCCTCCAAGTCTCTAAAATGAAGATCCGAGCTGGTGAAAGTCCTTATATTGAGTAGACGTGCGGGAAAAAACGCGGAAAAATTTGCCGCGTTATCGGGAAACTTTTTCCGTACATTAAGGGGAACGCGAAACGAGCAGCCAACTGGTGTTGTTTCACCTGTATTCAAATATGCCGTTTCACATAGCTGTATGTACGTTGATACACGAAGAGACCGTAAAACAAATGGAAAGGTCGAGGTTCACGGCTCGGATTGCAAATTATACGAGAAACGATGGGATAATACAAGAGAGCGAGCAGCTAATTAAAATGCAATTTTTTTACAGCGAAATGTGGCCAAGTTCTCGGAAAAGTGCGACTATTCCTTCAGTTTCCCTCGCTTGAAAGGCTTGTAAAACAACAATAACAAATGGCGAAATAAATAAAAGGACGCGAAGGAGGGCGAAGATAAAATAACGAAAGGGGCCGAAACACGTCCGGAACTTGAAGCGGGAGAATGGCTTTCTAGAAAAACAAAGGAATTCAATAATGCCTTTCCCGCCAGTGCAATAAGTTTGCGATAGTCTTTGGTACGTTATTGGTATTTTCCTTCTGTATTACGGGCTAACGGGCGTGTTTCCTATCCGCAAGAAAATGATACGTTACGCGATACGATAGATATCGTAAGTCGCAACAGTACGATCCTCGCACAAGAGCGAGACGAACGAAGGCTGTATTTCGCTTGGAAATGATAGTGTCGGATGTCAAGTTCGCAACTTGAGCCACGATAGTCTGCGTAATTCTGTCAGATATTAAGGTACCTTCGGTCAATACGTTTCGATGTTTTCTTCGTATGTTTTTACTCGACAAAAATACTCGCACAAGACAGAATTGAATTGGTGCATCCGCGGGAATATTAGCGATCGTACGCGTTTGACAACCGCCGTTGTTTACAATCGAGCACCCTCCATCGACGCGAGTCTTCGAAATGGTTTCCATCGTGAGACGATCCTCTGGTGTCACCGATTAGGGGTCAAACATCACCGCGGTTGCGACGTACGTTCACACAGAAGGGGAGACGCTCGGTCGGTCCGACGACAAAAGCAGCAGGAGGGGTTCCGACGGATTAATTGAGCGGAAAAATCGGGGCCAACTTACCATACCATGCCTGGGCTTCACCCTGTACTTCGATCGCCAGCCCGAAGTCTGCCAGTTTTACAGCCGCCCCTTTCGCTTTGCTCGCGAGGAGCAGATTTTCGGGCTGCAACAGAGAAAGAGACAGAGTGTCGTCTCTCCTCCCTCTCGCGCAGATTGAAATTTCGATTCGCGAACAAGTAATCGACGCGTAATCGCGGTTCAAGTCAATTCGGTCGAGTTTTACTCAGAGCACTGAAAATTGAAAGGTAGTTTGGACAGAGAGTAACGCTCGATAGAAAACACCGGGCTCGCTATTATTATCTAGGTTTCCCCGGGACGTTCCGTGGAAAGTAGACGACGCATCGGACGGAAATGCATTGTGGAAAAATAGACCGGGCGCTTCTCGCTCGCTCGCTTTATTTCAACGTCGGCTCCGCAAACGCGCTCTCTCTTCCTCTCCTACGTACTTTCAGATCCCGGTGCACAACTCCGTTGTGATGGCAATGGTGTACGCTTTCGAGGATTTGTTGAATACAGTGCGAGGCGTCGGCCTCGCTGTAGAACTCCCTCGCAACGATGTCCTCGAACAGTTCTCCGCCGGTGACTCTGTAAGCGTTTTACGTTTCAATTCCATTTCGCGAGAGCGGGATCGCACGGAAGGGTTCTTCTCGCGGAGAGGAACGAAATATTTAACCTCGGGAATAAAAGTAGCTTTCGCGTGAGCGAGCTCGGTTCGGTATTACGCGCATAAAAAGATGTACGAGAGTATAACCGCATTAAACGAGCCGCAAAGTTGATCGCGCGGGAGGGTATCGCGGGGAAAAACGCTGTTGAGCGGAATTAAGAGCGGATTAACTGCTCGAGCACCCCGGGAATTCGACGGGCGGAGCCCGAAAATACCGCGCGCGTCGACAATAAAAAGTCAAACGGAAGACGAACGAGCGAAATGAAATCCCTCATAACCCGGAGATTAATCGGCGGCGTGGCGAATTAGCGCACGTGGCCAAGAAAGAGAAAGGAGAGGTATAAATCAGCGTTACGAATATCCCGGCGCGCGTATACTCTCGCGGAAATTAAATTAGGCGCGATATATACTTTCTCGACGCCGGAGAGAGATCGAGACGATATTAAAAGACCGCGAGAGAGAGAGAGAGATCGGTATCTCCGTCCGATACAATTAGAGCTCACAAATTGCCTCGTTGTTGCTCGCCCTGGGTGCCGGTTAATGGAGTCGCGACGATGACTCGGGAGAATATCGTCGGCTCGATTACGTTGAGTGTTCCGCGCAGATCGGCGACCGATAACGACGTTAAAACATAGGCGAGGCCGACGATTGTCTGTCAAATTATTTGTGCAAGAACAGTCCCAAAGTCGAATAACAGGAGCTATCTTCTTGTACAGATGAAATTGATGTAAGTGGAATTTTGATGACAAGTAAGAATAGTATAGACGAGGCATCTCTAATTACCAACGGAGAGTTTTTCTCTTTCGCGTCTCGTATATAATATAATGGAGAAGTGCGCCGTTTCCGATTGATATAGATGAAAAGATATCAAGGAACTATTAAAAGAGAACGAATCATGTCCAAGTCGTGCGTCACCGTTACAATCGCTCGAGATTTTCATTACTCCGTTCGGCTCACACAACGTAGCTCGGTCTGGCCAAACGGCCTCGTTCTCTGATGAAAGAAAGCGCGAGACATGCATGGAAATTAAATTAGGTGTAACGGTAATAATAACGATTCAGTATACTTACAGGTCAAAGACGAGATAATGAAAATTCTCTTCCTGTATGCTGTCGTGCAATCTCACTGTAACAGAAAGGATGAGGAGATATGAAGCTACTGATTGTATACAAGCAGTCTTAAACGGACATCTCTGTGGACTGTTTAAACATATCTTTAAAAGGATAACGGGAACATCACGCGATACTATTATCGGTAAAATTGTTTCATCTTTCAGTCGTATCTTTCCTCTCTCTCTCTTTCTCTCCCTCTTCTTTCTGTTTACCTTTCGCTCGCAATTTTTCTCCGATTAATGAATCGCGATTTTCGGATCGTACACGATGAGTCTCACCATAAACCCTTACATAACGCATCTGATCGCAAATATCGCGGATGTGAAATTTTCCGACGAACGAAACGGGAAGAAAATCCGATCGGGATGATGACATTGTCGACGTGTAAGTGCATATCGTAAAGTCCCATTTCTCGAATTTCGCAAATTTGCCAACTTAACGGCATGCCATTCCCCAGGTTGACTTCCGGGTTTCGCGAACGTGATAACCATGGTAATCACATTGCAAACAGCACCCGAGATCGTCTCGAGCAGATAGTATCGACGAACGCCGTTATCCAGCGCGGTCTTTTACTGCCGTCGAACAATCGTGTCGCCACTCGAATTTTTGCGACGCCTTCTCGGGCGAACGACTGTCGTCAATTAGCTCTCACAGAGTGTTGACACCGAGTTAACGATCGAACGATCGATTTATCGGTCCGCCTGAGCCGTCGAGTAAATGTAGCGTCTGATCCTTAATTGCATGTCCACATTTCGAGGGATATAAATCTGGAGCACGCGAGAAACCAACACGGTTCTTGAGAGCTTATAAGATTCGATCATCGCGACAGCCGGTGAAGTTTACTTTAGCCGATCTATAATTCGCGATAAATGCAGCGCGACTCCGATTTCGTCGCGAATCTGAGATCGCGCGAGAGTAACTCGGCTGATTTGTATCTAAAAAACGACCGATCGCGATGTGGAGGGTCAACGAAGGGGGCGTTTCTCGCAAGAGTCGGATCGAGCTTAATCAGAGTCAAGTGAAGGAAACGCGGTTCGTCTATCTGCCATCGTAAGAAAGGACTCGGTACGCGAGAACAAAAACGCCGGCCGATATCATCATGCATGACGATGCGAAGAAGCCCTTCGTGCGCCCAACTCTTACTTCGGCAACTCGCTTAATTATCAAGATTATCCCGCTTGTCGCGTTGAACGTCTTCTTCGTTACGAAATTTGTCAGGCGTGACCCTCGCGTAAGTAACAGCGATCGATGGCGATAAAAAATCTCAAGATTTACAAACTCTTTTGCTAAAACACTCTTTTTTCCCCTTTTTCTCTTCACGCTCGCCGGGAAAGCAATTTGCCCGATGCTCCGACGATGAAATTTGCATGATGTTTTGCATGTTATTTCAAGATTCGCGATACCGTTGCTCGATTATTTCGCACGTGATAAGTTGATTTTCCTCCAGGAGAAATTCCAGTTTCGTCCCTCCCCGGCTTGCATTTGTCCCGTCTATCCGCTTCCGCCGCAATGCGCCGTTCTCTACGCGTACCTATTTCGAGATCGATCAACGAAGTGGGTTGCCACCGTCGTGCCGTTATAATGAGAGCGGAACTTTTCCCGACAGACGTATCACTTCAGTTAGCGCGCGACGACTCGGTCGTTTCATCGCGAGATCTCGCCAATCGAGCGAAAACCGGTATTTCCGACTGTCATCTCGCGTGATGAGTAAAGAAAATTTAATGAGAAGCAACGCGAATACCACGAGGCCGCCCGTCGAAAGAAAATGGTTATCCCTCCCGATCGTTCGGGTCTTCGATCTAAACGCGTCTTCGTTAATCCGAGCAGCATCAATTTCGGTGGAAGATTCGCGCTGTCAATTGTAACGTTTGCTGAGACGTAAGATGCGACAAATTCCGTACGATCTTTTTCAGTCAGTGATAGCATGTAAGGATGGATTCCATGGCGAGAGAGCGCCGATAAAGCGCGCGATTAAACGAATATAATTTCGGTAGATTTGCATTCCTAAAGGTCCTAAAGATCGTCACGGTCACAAGAGTAGTGACACCTTACACTTTCGTCGCACTTTTCATTCTTCGATAGGATCGAAGAACCGCGGAGACTCGCCTCCTCTTCCTTTGATACCGCGTCCAATCCAATAAGATCCAAATGGTGACTCGAGAAGAGACGAGAATGAAGATTATCAGGATGCATATCGATGATGAGAACGGCCGTTTCTCAACCGAGGAGTTGAGAAAGAAAAACTGAGAAAAGTAGCGTTGTTCAAAATGCCAGAAAGATTCATCGCCTCGATTTAATCTTCAATTGAACGATTGTGTGTGTGTGTGTGTGTGTTCTCTTAAACTTTTATCATAATATTATTTTACTGCAACAGAATCATGTACAGCTGAAATTTTGTTTTTGTAATTTCTTGTCTACAAATATTCATATTTGACGTTAGAGATGTATAGTATGTAAATAAACATCTTTCACGAATACATTATATACGAGTATATTTACGCGGCAAAAGTCTGAAGAATATAATATGTGCATTCCTCGCACGACGACGCACTGCATCGATTGTGAACTCGAGATCGAAGCGCCACGTGTATCAAAAGTACATCTTTCTACCATCCACGTCCTTTTGATTCTCGAGCTCGTGAGAAAAGCGGGGAAGGAGCAAGGAGGCCAGAATCCATCTTCTTGCCCTTTGAACCTTCCTTCGATCCAATAAGACGTGGTCGGAAAAACGAGTTCGGATACCAAAACGGATATTATTGGTGGGAATTTCCGTTGATGAGGGGAACTCGCTTGCTCGCTCGCACCGATAGAAACCTTACAATCTGAGCTTGCGGAAAATATTCAGCAGTCAAATTTAAGGGACCTGCTGCGAGTATACATGGTCCACCGATCGATTTGCTAAACGAGATATCATTACAAAGTTATATAACACGCGTTAATTCTTTGCGCGCGCCTGTTATAATAAAAAACAAAATTGTAGGAACGATCGCGGTAGCTGAGAAGGGAGGTGAGAAAGAGAGAGAAAGATAACTAACACACAAGTATCGATCCCCGAAGCCACACCTCGGCGTACATAGCTCTGCGCGGCGCTACGCTCTCTCGCTACAATTACATTTGCGAGCGCTCGTGCCCTGCTCGAAATTTCGATTTAAATATTCTAAGGTAAACGAGAAAATCCCCAAGAAAAATAAAGGGATCAGGTTTTAAACGAGTTGGTCTGAGAAAGCCACGATGGCTGAAAGAATCTTGCGGATTTTTGCATTCTCTTTCTCTCTCTCTCTCTCTTTTAAAAAATATTATTCTCTTACGTTTAACTTGTTCGAGCTGTCCTCACACTTGCACGACACAGATTAATAGATACATTCTTTAGTGAACTTTGACATACTCGCAATCGATGTGTATCACTGCCGTCTTATATCCTTCAATTTTTTTCACCAATACCTATTTATTCTCGCGGAAGATGCTTCCCTGTTGAAAATTCCCGGGTGAATTCCCACGGAAATTCGCCGGAACTCATGCGAATCCATATAGATATATAAAAAATCCATATAGAAATCCACACGGTTTGTGAAAATTCATATAGGAATACACATGGATTCCTACTTAGGACCTAGATTTTTGGCGCAAATCCCCAGGGATAATCCTCGAGGGATTTCTTATGGGTTTTCTACATGGATTTTCACCTGTTTTTCTTGTTTTTCAACACGGTTATTTGCAAGCAATATCCGCAGAAGGAAATCGCGAAATGCGTAATCGTTCGCGTGTGCAAGAGGATATTGCGAGTACTATCGGAAGGAGTTCACGGACGCTTCTGGTAGTTCGTTAAGACGGTAAGACGATTACCAGGTCGTCTTCGGTATAAGGAAACCTCGTTACCCAGCAGCCCTCGCTATTATCCCAACGTTTATCGAACACTGTTGTATTTCTCGTGGCTGAAGTTAACCTTGGCTGCGAGAGGACTCGATCGACACCCTCCTTGAAAAATGTCTGCAGGAGACACTAATTAAGAAAACGATTATCCACCGTACGCATACATACAAATTAATTAATCTTGTAATACGATATTCCGTTGTTACAATCGAGCAATTTTTACCGAATCGTTATCCCCCCGTTTTTGAGGGATGCGGCACGCACCTTCACCCACGCGACCTACATATCGGGGTTGGGACGAAATAAAGTATCTCGTTAAATCCGTACTAAAAATATACCGTCCGTCCATGACCGAGCAACACGGGAGGGGTCTTGGTTCTCACGACGATGTTTCTCCTGGTGACACTCGCGCGATCGTATCCATCATGCGTGTCGCACGGAATAGTCCCAAAGGGGAGGAAACACGCAGCGGGGGAAAAAAAACACGAGTCATCGTCGAGAGAAGGGAAGAAAAATAGGTAGGGAATGTAACTCGCAGGCTCGCAATTGACAAGTGGAATCGATAGGTATCACTTGTTGACTCGCGGCGAAAGCGAATTTTCTGTCGAGGTACGCCGATTCATCGGCCGGCGAGAATAGAGCCGTAAGATGAATAAAAGAAACACACTCGCCGCTGATCGGCAAGAGCCCGACCCTTATGAATTATGGAATCGCGATAGACCGCGGCTCATCTAACAAACCCGCGCGTAGCCAACGAGGCTGCTCTCTGAGAATCCAATCCGGTCGTCATCACCCGGCAGGTGAATTCCAACACGATGGGAGTGGGATTAACTGGGAAGGAAGACTCTGCGTGTGACAGTTGAAAGCCGACTGGTGTTACGCTCGGCCATCGATATTTTGAGTCTTCGATGTGAAATACCGGCTCGAACAAATATTTCATTCCATATTAATCCTGCAAATTCCGTCGTACTTCGAACGATCGATCGAGACTTGATCATTATAGAATATCAACATTTTAGCTAGGGGTATCTTATATAACACTATTATATCTATAAAATTACCGTTAAAATCATTTCGTTGTAGCTTAAATGAAAAAAACGAAAATTCTGTCGCATATAAAAACGTGGAAGAAATGGCCGATGT